ACTACCTCTGCCCAGGAGCCGGGGGCAAGGTCCCAGAACCAATCCAGAACCTATCCCCACCCCTTCACCCAGCCCTGCCCCAACACACACACACACACACACACACAAGGCCACAGTCCCTGAGGACAAGTTAGAAGTTGGCCCCTGTCTCCAAACCCCCAGCCCTCTGCACTAGCAGAGGGGCCAGCTCTAGGATAAGTAACAGGTGGACCCTGCTCCTCATCCCAGTACCCTCTGCCATCCCAATCCACACCCTCCTCGCGCCAGGGGATGGGCACAGGAGTGCCTAGGTCTCTAACAGCTGCCTTTGGACTGGTGTTCTGCCCTCTGGTCTGACGGTGGAGACAGAGAGGAACAGGATGTGGGGGTTCTGTGGCCAAGACCCCCTCACACACATCGCCCCACTCTTACTGCAGGAGACGATCCGTCTGAAGGAGAAGGAGGGCTGCCCCCAGGCCTTCCACGCCCTCCTTTCCTGGCTGCTGACCCAAGACATTGCAGCCATCCTGGACTTCTGGAGGGTTCTCTTCAAGGACTACAACCTGGAGAGATACAGCCGGCTGCAGGCCATCCTAGACAGCTTCCCTAGAGGTGGGGGCATGGGGCCGAGGACTCCGGTCCTGGCGGTTCACCGTGCTGGGGTCTTGGGAGCTAGTGTCACCTCGCTGAACCCCATCTGCACTGAAAGATGGAAGAGGGAGCGGGGGAGCCCCTGAATGATCCTCAGGACATCTTGGAGTCCAAGAGGCAAAAGGGAAAGGTCTTGCCCACCTTGCCAGAGGGTGTCCAGTTCTGGGGCCCGTCCCCCTATGAGCTGCTCTGAGTTTGGGGCCCTGCTCCTGCCCATGAGCTACAGATGTGGACCTCAGCCAGCCGCGGACGGGGAGGAAGCCCCCTGCCAATCTCAAAGTCTCAGCACTGCCGCCCAGGCCCCCCACCAAGAGGAAGGCCCTGGAGGAGCCTCGAGGGGCCCTGCCAGCAGCCCTGACCCCAAAGGGCACCTCCAGCCCAGGTACTTGGCAGGGGCACCAGCCAGGATCTTTTCCTGGGAACCCGATACCCCTCCCTCCCCAGTCCCTGCTCTACCATATCTGGAAGCTTTGGTCCCACCAACATAGGCACAGCTGTTCTGCCTGAAGCTGCAGAGCTCCCCTCTGGGTACTCATCTACACTGTAGTCAGAAGCGTATCCTCCCAACCCTGTCCTGTCCCAAACCCTGAGCTCCCCAGGGGCTGTGAAGTAGGTAGGTGGCTTTCGTTAACTTTGTACTGGTGAGTAAACCAGAACCCACTAAAGCAAAGGAACCCACAGAGAGTGAGGAAGACTAAACCTGTGCCCCCATTCCACCTGGGCCACCCTGGCCCTACTGGTCCCCAGGCTGTCTCCAGCTATCCCCTGCAGGTTCCCAACCCAAAGCCAAGCCCCCCAAGAAGCCGGACAGCAACACAGAACCCCAGCGCATCCCGCTCGGAAATGGTGAGTGAGGCCTCTGCTTCCTGGCCAAGGCAAGGGGTCAAGATTGAGACTGGCCTGGGGTCTCATCCCAATAACCTTGGCTGCATAGCCAGCCCAGGGAAGAGGGGATACCCTGGGCCCAAAGATGGCCTTGCTGATCATTCCCCACCTTCCTTTGCCTGGTACCTCTACACCCTGGTTCTGGCCCTTCTGCCCAGATGCCTAGCTCTTCATGTCCAAGAGTTGCCCCATCCTCAGGGCCAGCCCAGACACTACTCCCTCCAGAAAGTCACCCTCAGCCCTCAGCTGGACACGGCCAGCTGTCCTCCCCCTTTTCAGGGCATGTGACCCCCAGAGACCTCCAGCACTCACCGGTGCTCACAGCGAGGCCAGGACCTAGGACCTCTATGTCCTTCCCATGCACAGGGCCCATGTCCACTGTGCTCAGGTCACGCCCAGGACACTGCTGCCCAGGATACATGCACACCTCCCCCAAGTGTGTTCATACACGTGCATGTGTGCACAGGCAGTCTGTGTCTGCACTTACTGTGGGCTATCTGTGCATGGCAGGGCTTGTCCCCCTCCATGGCCTGGCCTGCCTAGAAGAAAAGGATCCTACAGCCCAGGCACTGCCCCCTCCTGTCCAGCGTGACGTAGGTACTCAGAGACCACCTTCCTGATTGAGGACCCCCACTTGGGTGGTCCCTTCCCCAGGAATCCAGACCATGTCTACTTCAGTCCAGAGAGCTGTGGCTGTGTCCTCTGGGGATGTCCCAGGAGCCCGAGGGGCTGTGGAGGGGATCCTAATCCAGCAAGTGTTTGAGTCAGGTAGATGGGCAAGGTGGGAAGGGAGGGCTTGCCAGGAGGACCTAAGCCTGGGATGGAGGGAGGTTCCGCCCTCTTGTTCCCTGGGGTCCCAGAGCTGCTGGGGCTGCAGTGAGGCAGCTGGCATCCCTGCCTGCAGAGGGAAGGGGTGGGCACTGAGTGCTCTCCCAGGGGGCGGGACCTTCTGTGAGGCCAGCAGTCTAAGCCCACAACCCAGCACGGATATTCACGGCTCCGGGATCACCTCTGTCCACATGGATGGGCTCTGCAGGGTCCCAGAGTTGCTGCCTAGAAAGTTCTGCCTGTGCCAGACCTTCCCTGGTGTCTTCTCCAGGTACTTGCACTGTCCAATGGGGACAGCTGCAGCCTCCCAGCCTATTCCCCCCTGACTTCTCTTCCTTGGCCTCCCCTGCACTGGGTGCATACAGGGAGGGGTCCAGTCCCCTCACACACAGGCCAGGCTCCTCCCTCAAGCCCAGAAGGCCGACCACCTATCTATAGGGTGGGCCAGCTGCTAATCAGGGAACAGCGGGCCCTGTTGGTGGCACAGGAAACGTGTCATCGCACCTCAGTCCCCGCCACTGTTTCTCCTCTGTGCTGGACACTGGCTGGGGATGTGAAGCTAGCCAAGACCACCCAGCCCGTGGGAGTCGGTGCTGGCCCTGCTGGCCCTGGTCTCACCGGGGTGGTTCGCAAGGGCCCTTGTCTCAGCTTCCTAGGCCTGCTATAATAAACGCTACCAACTGGGGGGCTTACAGCTACAGAGGTTCCGGCAGTGAGTGTCAGCGGGGCGTGCTTCCTTTGGAGGCTATAGAGAAAGGTCCTTCCTGCTTCTTCCAGCTTCTGGTGTTCACTGGCAACCCTCATCCCTTGGCTTGTGGCTACATTACTCCACCTCTGTCTTCACATGGCCTCTCCCTGTGTGTCTCTGTGTGCTCTCTCCTTTTACAAGGACACCAGTCATCTCATTCAACTAGTTACATCTATAAAGACCCTCCTCCCAAATAAGGTGGAATTCTGAGTTTCTGGTGGACGTAACTTAGGGACACTATTGAACTCAGGATGTTCTCCCAGCAGAGCAGCCCTTCCTGAGCCCAGAACATGGCCCGGGCCTAGCTGGGGTGGGGGTGGAGTGGAGGGCAGTGGGGTTGCAAGACACAGGACACACAGGCTATCGGCTACTCCTCATCTGCATGAGGGGCAAGGCCAGGCCAGCTGGGTGGGTGAGCGAGCATCTCCTCCCAGGGGGCTCCAAGAAGTGCATCCAGGTTGGGGGGGAGTTTTACACTCCCAGCAAGTTTGAAGACCCCAGTGGTGGGAAGAACAGGACCCGCAGCAGCAGCAGTGGTGGTGGCCTGAAGCCTCCTGTCCGAGCCAAGGGAGCCCAGAGCACTGTCTCGGTAAGGAGGTCCCGACTTCCCCAGGGAGGCTGGGCCTGCCTCCACCTTCCAGCAACAGCATTGCCTCAGGCCAGGAGCTCTGCTGGGGGCTGGAGGCTGCTACTGAGAGGCTCTGGGAGTCTGGCAGCCACATGCACCCCTCTATGGCAGGCTCTCCCCCTTCAGTGACCATTTCCTCCTGACAGGGTGGAGGCGAGCCAAAGGCAGGCCAGCAAGGCAGGGTCTCTGCACCCCCAGTCCCCCACAGCGAACTCCAGCTTCACCAGGTAATTACCTGTACCAGGAGGGGAGCCCAGTGCACCCTGTGTCCCCTCGGTAGGACCTTTTGCAGACTCTTCCCTTGTCCAGGCCCTCAGATAGCTGGAGCTCTGAGGTCTATGCCCCTAATCAGGGTGGGGCATTTTTTTTCTTCTTTGTTTAATGGACGATGTATATTTTTTCTGTTAATACCTGTATGTGAATTTTCAAATAAGTTAGAGAAAGTGAGGGCCTCCCAGGCACTTAAAACCATGGTGTTTGGGCCAGGCTGTTTGGAGCATCCCAGCAGGGCTCATGAGTGGGGCAGGGCCATACCAAAGCCAGGAGCTTGAAGACTGCGGGATCAAGCTTGCCCTTGGTTCCCCAGCCCAGGTTTGCAGTGAGGTAGAACTGACGAGGCCTGGTCTGTTATTGTCAGTTACAGACCCGACACCTGGGCCATGTTCACTCTCAGGCATGCAGGTGTGGACAGGGCCTGGTCCTCCCTGTGGGAGCTCCCTGACTGTCTAGGGGTCCAGGGACTTGTTACCATGAGTGTGAGTGTCGCTGTGCAGAGCCAGCCCAGCTGGATGGGCCAGGAGGCTTCTGGAGGAGGTGGCATCCAGGAAACTCAGAGAGCGTGTGGGCACCCCCAGGGAAAGGTGCAAGGAGGGCAGAAACCTCGGGCAGAGGGAGCAGTAGGGTCAGTGGAGATACACTGGGCCTGTTGCCCGTGAGGACAGGTTCTGAGTGGGTGGTGCAATCTGGGGGCTGCCTACAACACAGTTGCCCATGAGGAACCAGGCTTTCTGAAGGCTCATTCTTACCAAGGGGTTCCTTCGGAGGGTACTCAGGGGTTGGAACCCTCTAAGTGGAATGGGCCAGGAGCAGGCGGTGAGGTAGAATAGCCAGCATGGGCCAGCAGGGGAGCAGGATAGGGGAGATGTGGCAGGTGCAGCTGTTTTGGGAAGGAGCTAGCTCTCGGGGAGGGTGTTGCACCCCACCCTGAAAGTCGGCATGGGTGTCTCTTGCCTGCGTCAGAAGAATGAGGATGAGTGTGCCGTGTGCCGGGACGGCGGGGAGCTCATCTGCTGCGACGGGTGCCCCCGGGCCTTCCACCTGGCCTGCCTGTCCCCGCCCCTCCGGGAGATCCCCAGGTCAGCCTGTGCCTCCCCTCCTCTGTGTCTCCAGGTCACCCACTTCCCAGCACCTTCACCCACGACCCCTATGGGAAGCTGTCAAGGGTTTCGGTTCAGGTCACAGGGCTGTGCCCAGCGTTTTGTGCAGGGCCCTGGGATTCTCCCATGGCACAGCCTGCCTCTGCATCCCACACTGGCTTCCTGCCTGGCCAGAGAGCCCCAGCAGGGTGGCAAGCAATGGGGACTCAAGGCAAAGAATAGCTGCTCTGCCTCAGCTGGCCCAACCTCCCAGCCCCAGCCACCCCACCCCAATCCCTGCTCTCAGATGGTGCTGAAAGCATAGATGCACACAGTCGCACCCCTAAGGGCCCGTGGGTATCTGTCCGCCAATGCAGGGACGCTGTCCTGGTGGGGCACGAAGCCGCCTTTGAGTCCATGTCTTGGCGCTCCCTCCAGGCCCACTGAGCCCCGGCCAACCTCCCACCCAGCTCTCACAAAGCATGGCTATCATTGGAAAGGAGCTCTGGGTGGGATTCAGAGACCCAAGTTCTAGCCCAGGCTCTGCCCCAGCTCCCTGAGCATCCCTGACTGGCCCCCGGCTCTCCGAACCTCAGCTGCTTCATTGCTAAAAGGAGGGAATTTGGCCAGCTGGGGTCCTCAGCCACCTCCTTCTGGCTGTCCTCTTTCTGTTTCTTCCCTTCCTGCTCCTGATGGACCATCTCCTGCTGTGCTGGGGGCTGTTCTTCTAATGGAAATGTGGGTGGTCCAGGTTAGGGAGGCCCTCACCAGCATTACTGGGCATGTGGGAGGGTAAGTGAGGTTAAGTGAGTGGAAGGAGTTCTTGGAGTTCCTCAGAGAAGCACTCTAAGGGGATGCTGGGTGCGCTGGCAAAGACTACCCTTCTAGGGATACATATCTTGGGCTCTGGTCCCTTCCATATGTGTCTGGCCACTTCCCTGCCTGGACCTCAGCTTCCCCATCTATAAAAGGAGCCTGTGATGTAGCGGGTCCCCCAGGCCTTCCCTGCCTCCTGGCCTTGGGAGTCCATTATCCTCTCTGCTTTGTTCTGCATGCCTCTGACCGGTGACAACTGGGTAGTGGGACCTGGAGGTGTTCCAGCTGCCTCCAAGGGAGAGTCCAGCAGGGCCTGCTCCGGGCTGAGGAGTCCCGGCCCCAGGAACCATCTGTGGAGACCCCGGTATGCCCAGCCCACTCCCAGGCCCCGTCCCCACCTGGCCCCTCTGCCCCTCTGGAGACCTGCACCTGGCTGTTCTGTGTGACAGGCCTGCTTGCACCCCAGCTGATCAATCTGGCTTGCTGCAACCGACCCTTTCCAGGAGTTCCCCGTGGGGCTGGGGGCTGGGGGCTGGGAATCTGTTGGAACAATGGCCCCAGTGCTCACTGTGCTGTCAGGGCCGCTGCTCTGTCGGCCCCACTCGGGATGTTCTGCTACCCTTGACAGTATCCTTCCAAACTAGCAGCCATGAGCGGGAGGCTATATGTACCCCCAGATTTGCTCAGTATTGACTCTGACAGCCCCTGCAGACCACAGGGCCCTGTTTGTAAATGGGGAAATGGCCGCAAAGCCTGCAATTGCACCCTGGCCTTTCCAAGCCCAGTCTCCCCACCACCAGCCTATGTTCCAGTGTCTTGGTGGTCACTGACTTCCAGGTGGTGGAGGGCAGGGTTCTCTGCCCCCCGCATGCCCCTCTAAGTGCTGACTCTCTATTCAAGGTCTCCCTGGACACCCAGGGAGCCTCCCACTGGTGTGGACACTCCTGTCACCTACAAGCACCTGCTGGCCCCACCTACCACCCCACTGCTGGACTCCTCTGCCCTGCGCCCCCTACTGTGTATGGGCCCTGAGGGGCAGCAGGTAAGTAGCAGGTACTGACCAGGGCTGTTGGGAGCTCTAGGACGTTGGTAGCTGTGAGCCAGGAGGGTCCGGCCATGCCTTCAGGGCAGACCTGCGGAAGCTGGAGAGGAGGGGGTGGGAGTTAGGTGAGGGCTGAGGACAGAGGAGGCACTGTCCCACCGGCTGGGTGGGAAAGAAAGCGCTGGGCCGGCAGAGGCAGGGCAGGTGGGATGAGGCTGCTGGGAGCAGGGCTGGGCTGTGAAGAGGGCACCCAGGGCCTCAGGGGCTCTGGGGGTGCTGAGGAGGGAAGGGAGGCTCCCCAGGGCCTTCAGTAGGGGCTCTGGAAACCCCCACCCCAATTCACAACATCTCTCTCCTGGCAGAGGCTGGATAGTACCAAGTCGGTTGTCGGGCCTGTGAGGCCCCTTGCTCCCCTGTCCTGCCCTGCCTGCCTCTGTTTACCCCACACTAGCCCCTCTGAGGTGCTCGGGTCCTCCGCCCTCCTAGGGCACTGGACTGCAAAATGTCGGGATCCACCCTCCTGTGGCAGTCATCTCACCATGCCCATGCAGTTTCTCTGCGCAGGACCCGCAGGCCAGCCCTCACTCCCCGCCTGGCTCCCGGGTCACGCTGCCCTGTCCCGTCCCACAGGGCCTGGCACGGTGTGGCGTGTGCGGGGACAGCAAGGATGCCTTGCGATGTGCTCACTGCGCTGCCGCTTTCCACTGGCGCTGCCACTTCCCCGCAGGAACCGCCCAGCCAGGGTGAGTGAGGGTGGCCGGAAGGGGTGGCTGGTGCTCCAGACACCAAAAGGGAAGCTCCTGGCCCGCTGGGCCCGGCCAGCCTGCAGCCTCTCCCCCCCTGCCACAGAACCAACCTACGCTGCAAATCTTGCTCCGGAGACCTCGCCCTGGCCCCCGGGGAGGGGGCGCCCGCCCTGAGCCCTGCCTGCGTGGCCACCGGGTCCACCAAGGTCAGTGCCACCACCGGCCTTCGATGACTGCGCTGCTGGGGGGGCAGGGCACGGGGACATGTGGGGGTGGAGGAGAGAGGAGGAAGAACACATCCCAGGAGACTCTGATGCCAGCTCGCCGCCCGCACCAGACCAGCTGACCCTGTTGGTTATTTTCATAAACGGTTTGCTAAAGCACCTGACTCCTTTTTGGTAACCTGAATCTATGCGAAAGGGAGAGGGCCCTAAGCCACAGCAGCTGGGAAATGAGCAGTGGGTGCCCAGCTGTCTCGGGTGAGTGGTGCTGGGTGCGGGAGAAAAGGCTGCGAGGAGGGGGGACAGCTAGCGGAGGTCCCAGGCAGCATCACCTATGCTGGCTGGCCAGTACTGGCTCTGCCCAGACCGCCCCATCCCAGGGCCAGGACCTTCCCAGAAAGGAGGAGTACGGAGGCCCCAGCAGTAGCTCCTCCGTCCTCCCCCGGCCTTGTTTGTCGTGGAGGAAACAGTGTCAGGAGGGGCAGTAAACTGCTCACCCTGGAGCCCACCTCCTGGCTCAGGGCTTGCTCCACACCTGTGGGGGAAGAGCCTCCAGGGGGCAATGGGCCTCTAGCCCTGACTTCCCGCAGCTGGGGTCTTCCTACCCCAATCCCTTCCCCAAAGCTTCTTTAGGGATGCCCCTGAGTCCCACCCTACCTGCTGCCCATCCTACTTCCCAGCTGGCCTCATACTCCCGGCTATGCGCTGTGTGGGGACAGGCATCGCACTGTGCAGGCCCTCCCGGGCACCTGGGACGGGACGAGCATCAGGCCAAGGCCTTGCCCACTGGGCCGACTGGAACCAGTGACTTAGCCCGCTCTGCCACATCCCCTGACTTCCAGAAGCTGCTCTCCTCAGCCCACCTTTCTACACATTTAAGTCCAGAGGCCCGCCGAGCTAGTTCAGAAGTCCCCTCCAGGCAGCCCTCCTAGCCTCCCCACAGAGAAGCCCTCTGAGTTCTTATCTTTTACAAGCAAAGATCCAGTTCTTTTCATCGTAATGTAAACTGTAATGAAAAGTTGGAGTACCCATTCCATCCCCCTTCCCTGGTTAGGACATGGCCCCAGCTGCCTTGCAGGGCTGGGGTTTGTCGGACCCACCCGTACAGAAAGACCGAGACTTGGCTGTTCTGTGGTGTAAGCCAGGTGGCTTCATAGGGTTTGACCTAGTGTGTTCTTCTCTGCCTCCATGAGCCTGGGGGCTCTCGGGGCTGGTTCCCCACTGGCCCTAGCATGCCTGCTGGAGGGCAAATGGCTGGCGCTCTCTTCTTGAGCCTCAGGGTTTCCACCCCTGGCAGAGTGTCTTCTTGCTGGCTCTTTAAGCCCCCTGGGTTTTCCTGGAAGGCTGCAGCAGCCTACTGAGGCAGGGGCAGCCAGCTTCCCCAGCAGGCAGGGCCCTGGGCTTCCAGCCCCCCATGCCCACCCTGCTCTGTGGGTCACTGCTCTGGGGCATTTGCACTCCATCCCCAGGGACTGCCCAGGGAAGCACCCCCGCCACAGGCCAGCAGCTTTGCTGGGAGTCCTGCTTCCTTGCACTGTCCCAGACGGGTGTGGGGAGCTGTTCACCTCTTCCCTTGTCTGGTTCCAGGTCAGCGATGACTCTGCCTGTCAAGAGCCGGTTCTGCATAGAGATGACCTGGAGTCTCTCCTGAGTGAGGTAACAGTCACCTGGCCTGGGTACATCCACCACCCTTCCCCACTGCCCCCTTCCCCCCAGCCGGCTCCCTAGGCCCTGAGGGCCTGGACCATACCAGGGCCAGCTCAAGCTCAGCTCTT